TCGATGTTCTTAGTTTAACATATTCTACGACTTTCGTTTAGATCGCTAAGGCTAAATCTCGCTCTATCGTAAATTCACTATTCACGCTTCCCGGTATCGTGCCGGTTCTGTCGTGAAACTTCGACGGGTCATAACTTCTTCGTTATAACTCGGATTTCGGCGTTTCTTATATGCACGAAAACCTTGAGACATATTCTACAAATTTATGTAGAGATATCGGGATTATCTCACACTTTAATTTTGACGCTCATTTTTATTCTTTATTAATTATATATTTATAATTAAATAATAAACACTTAAACACACATAATTCACATAATACTCAAATATTTCATCTTTATTACTTCAAAAAGAGTTACAAAAGTTGACCTAGACTATTACATTGACAAAAATGTTTAGCCCTGAAACCCGGACGTTACATTTAAGTTTATCATCCAAAATTTATAATGTATTTTTATTTATTAAAAACTGATAGTTTTATTTCAATTACCACTAACATTTATGTGTATTATTGTTTATAATCCTCTTTTGTTACTAACCAAATATTACTTATTGTAATTAAGATATTTATGCTTGTTATTCTTCATTTATTTGTCATTCAATATTTGGATTAAAAAAAAATAGTAATAATAATAATCTAACCATGAAATCAAATAACAATTATGATTTTTTTATCATTATACATCTAAAATCATTTGGATAATTAGAAAATAAACATTCGATTCAACCATTTTCATTAAAAGAAAAACGTTAGCATCTTTATGTTATATATTTTATATATATTTTTTTTTAAATCCAAATGACATTTGAGAGAAACGTCTTTCCGTCCGCAGACATTAGTCAATGTCTTATGGATAAGAGGATGCTAGACATTTGATGTATGTGGTATTCTAAAAAGCAAATAGTCTATGAAACCTCTTTCAACATGCATAGAATAAATGCTCAAAAAGAGTTGTTAAAAAAATAAAAAAAAATAAAAAAATAAAAAAAAAACCATTTATGTAACCCAATGAAAAGCATCTCCCAATTGAATGGCATGTCGGAAAACGACAGCTTCCTAAATGTTGTTTCCATAAATAACGTCGAATTAGACATGTAATGTTGCCTTAAAATAGAGTGTTAACTCAGAAAAAGTCTTTTTAAATTATATAGGATATAGATATAAATAATTTCAAAAATGGTGTAACATGTTTAGAAGAGTAATGACATGATACAAGATAGTTTAAGAATCATTAAACCCTAAAAACCTTTTTTTAGAGTAAATTACACGAATGGTCCTTTAGCCTTACACTTTTTCCCCAAAATTGTCATTACAAACTTTTTTCCCTAAGATGATATCTAATGACAAACCTTGCACACAAATGGCCATTCGGGTGGATGTTCGTCTGATGCACCGTTAACATGTTTCATGTGCCTTGCACATGAGGGTATTTTCGTCATTTCACATAACGGACCATTTATGAAGTTTTCTCTAATATATATATATATATATATATATATATATATATATATATATATATATATATATATATATATATATATATATATATATATATAGGTTATAGATCCGGTAAGAAATTTTTTTTTGTAGGAAGGTAAGAAGTTTTTTTTCTACATAGTTTTTTGACGAATAAAAAAAATGAATCACTAGATGATTCATTTGTAAGATGATTCACAAGAAAAAAATTCTCAAAAAAACATCTTTATGATTCATTTTTAAGTAAATTAAGAAAAGATTCACTTTTATGACAATTTTAGTGAATAACAACAAAATCATTATATAAATGAATCATCTAGATTTTTTTTGAGAATTTTTTGTTGTGAATCATCTTACAAATGAATTATATAATGATTCATTTTGTTTGTTCGCGAAAAAAATATGTAGAAAAAAAACTTTTTACCTTCCTACCAAAAATTTCCTTCTTATTTGATCTTGATTATATATATATATATATATATATATATATATATATATATATATATATATATATATATATATATAATCTTTCTCTCTCTCTTTCACACACACATACACACAGCTACAGTTACATTTGGTTGAGTCATCATCGTTTATGGAATCTACAATACACTAATGTGTCATTATACGGGTTTAATGATAAATTTCACATACAAATCTATATAAATAATGTTCAATATGGTTATTAAAAGCAAGTACATGAGCACATATAGAAATTTTAAAGGCAAAATGAGCTCTGAGTTGCTTTCTTCTCCTATTTGAGATACAGATGCATCATATATGTTCTCTTAAGCATGTAGTAGATAACAGTGTCGCAAGTGTCGCAGAAATCGGCCTTGACGGCCGATTAATCGGCGATAAATCGTTTGGCAGCCTTGAGCCGATTATACTTAGGGTGTTTGGCGAAAATTTATCAAAATCAGTCAAACTCGGGTTTGACGGCCCTTGGTCGGTCCTCGGTGGTTATAGACGGGAAATATTTAAAAAATTCAAATTTTTTAATTTTCAAATATTACACCAAAATTTTAAATTTTAAATTTTCAAAATTTTAAGTTTTCAAATTATGAAAAAGTCCTATAATTTTAGTCTAATTTATAAAACTAAATTTTGTTTACAGAAAAACACAAAATACCGGCTAAAACTTCGATAAAAAAATCATTTTTGCCCGGTTTCAAAGATTTAGCCAGTATTCTGTCATTTTTTTTTAGTTTGCTCAAAATATTAAGATTTTTTTGAAAATTACATGATAACCAAAATATTGAGACTTTTCTGAAAATTACTATGGAATTAATTGATATTATTATTAATAAATCATTTACAAACATATAAATTTTTTTATTATAAACAAAGGAAATACATTTTAGCTAATTTCTAGCAATAGAATGGTCGACTATGTATTTCTCTATTGTTTGTTGACCACTTCAAATTCCTTATGTTCCTCCTATGTATCGTTGTGGGTGTCATAGTAAGAAGTAACTTGTTAGGGGTGACCAATACAGGATTTGATAATATTTATTAATACACAATCAATTGTTTTCTTGCTGTAAAAAAATGTAAGCAACAAATCGATTCATAACATCAACAGATCTTTTATTAAATGAAAATAAGGTCCATTTGGTTTTCAAGATACTTACAACTGAAAACTCACTACATAAGCACTCACTCTCAGATGTATATAAATAAACTAGCAGATTTAAGATTTTACAGAACAAAATCAACAAGAACAGAACAACCCTAAACAGATCAAACCCTAATCTGAAGAAGAAGATGATGAGAGAATAGAGAGACTCGTGTGTGACAAAGGAAAAATGAACTGAAAAAATCAACCCTAGCTAACATGATGACACAAATATATGGTTGAACAATTTTCACAGATAATCCTTAGACTATTCATTCTGACTCCGGTAACCTTGCTCTTTCTCCATATTTGCTCCATTACCCTCCAGGTTTAATATGCACGACATAAACTGCTACAAGTATAAAACTTCATACAACAATCAAACTTAGAGTAATTACTAGTTGCTCCTTAATCTTTATCCAACTTTAAAACAACTACATTATGTACCCTACTTACAAAGTTAGAAAACCCAAATTTATTAATACCAAGTTTATGATTGGAAATTGTTAAGAAATAATTATATTTCTCAGCACTTGCTATTAGACATGACGCTATATGATCACATGTTATTAGAAAATATCATTACACAACGATTCTTGGACATATAGATATTTTATTATGTTCTTTAACCTAATTACCATCTAACCTCCATATATTACCCGGTAACAACCATCAAATTACACACATCTATCGAAAGTGAAAAGTAAACTTTGAATGACAATTTAAATAGATAATCACGCTTCACTTGTTTCCATATAAACTATCATATTCATGGATCACTTTTCGTATTTGATAAATGAGTGTTAGCTGATGGTTGTTAACATGTAAGACATGAATGTTGAGTGGTAGTTAGGTTAAACAACATAAGATGAACACCAACATTAAAAGAACACTATCCGAGTACATCTCACCATCATATCCACAACAATGCATAAGAGGAACGTAAAGAGTTTGAGTGGTCAGCAAGCAATAGATGAGTACTTAGACAACCAATTTATTAATAGAAATTAACAACAAATGTATTTCCTTTTTTATAATAAAAATATTTTTTGTGTTTATAAATTATTTGTTAATAACAATATTCATTAATTCCATGGTAATTTTTAGAAGAAAAAAAAAACCCCAATATATTGGTTATCAAGTAATTTTTAAAAAAGTCCCAAAATTTTGAGCAAATTAACAAAAAATGACAAAATACCAGCTAAATCTGCGAAACCGTCCGAAAAAGGTTTTTTCGAAGTTTTAACCGGCATTATGTGTTTTTCTGTAAACAAAATTTAGTTAGGGACTTTTTTATAAATTGACCTAAAATTTTAGGACTTTTCTGGAGATTTCCCTTTAAAATATTATACTAAAATTTTTGAATTTTCAAATACTAATTTTTTAAGGATCCCGATTAATCGTCGTCTAGTCTGATTAATCGTTTAACACCAGTTGACCGTCGAGCGATTTTCACAACCTTGATGGACAAAAAGAAAATTTATTGATTTCCATTTGTGTGACTTGTTTTAGATGACCAGAAATCAGTAGAGACGAAGCTTTAACTGATTTGTGTGGTTTGTTTTAGATGTTTAATATGTATTTGAACAAAGCCTTCACTTCAGATCCTACTCTCTGCATAGATGTTTCATTTCACTTTGACATTTTAACAAACACATGGCGGGCAAAAAAAGTTATTGATTTCCATTTTATGGCTTGTTTTAGATGACCAGAAATTAGTAGAGATGAAGTTAACAAATGTAATAACAAATGTACCGACTCTACTAGGTCACCAAGCTGACGGAGAATGCCAACGGATCCGACCATGGAAACACCTAACAAGCAAAACTACATGATCATCGTTATATGATGCTTCATATAGCTCTTGATCAGCCAAAGAAAAATAAGGAATTGCTTGCTCACTTCTCATCTCCACCAAGCCTCTTGTTTCCCACCCATTTCAAGCTCGCACCACCCACCTCCCTCGATTTCCATTTCCATTGCTTCCAATCCTAAAATAATGACATCGTCTAAGATCTCCAATGTCCTCTCTGACGACAAATTAGATTATACAAAATTCATGTGGCTTTGAAACGTGGTGTTTTCAACAATTCGACAAAAGTCTTTTTAAGTTATATAAGATATAGATCTGAATAATTATAAAAATGATGTGAAATGTTTAAAAGCCTAATAACATGACTGGGGATGGCAGGGGCGGAGCTTGAACAATTTTTTTTTTTTGGTGGGGGTGGGGGGGGGGGGGGGGTGGGGGCGATTTACCGAAAGTATTATAAACTAAAATTAACGTTTTTACATACAAGAAAAAACCAAATTTGTTTTTACAAATAAACACAAAAAAATAACTAGAAAAAGAATTACAACTCAGCCCGACGACCTTTAAGGTCTTTGAATTCATCAATTACCGACTTCGAATCAATATTTTCAACAATTTCTCTTTCTATGTAAACCACCAAGTTGTTTGCGAGAAAGTCATCCGACATCGTATTGCGAAGACGGTTCTTGAATATTTTCATTGCTGAAAATCCCCTCTCTGTTGTTGCGGTAGAAACTGGAAGTGTCAAGATTAACCGCACCACTCTATCAAGCAAATAATATGTCTCACGTTTCTGAGTTTCCACAAGACCCTTGCATAAGTCAGCAATAGTCGATACACCACTAAGCTTGAGATTCTTTATCATATCAATATTAAAAATCTCCAATTGATATCTTAATTGGATTCTCTCTTGCTCTGTAAAATCTTCGGGATAATACTTCTCAACAAGATGACAAATTTGATCAACTTTAATCACTTTAGGGTGTTCTTTTGAAACTAAAGTAGAATTAAGACTTAATAACTCCATCGCCTGATCATTGAATCTACTATTCAACTCATGTAACTGTTTGTCCAATGTGGTTGTAAACAAATCCACTCGATAAAAATGTTCAAAAGTAACATGATGATCAGTTTTTCGAGGCCGGTATCGAGTAGAAGTATATGGAGCATTCATATCCGGCATATCTATTTGATGTTTTTCACAAAAAACTTTACTTGTGCAAGTAAAGAGTCCCATCCCTTGTTTCTGAATTCATTTAGACTCTCCTTTGTTGCTGAAACTAACTCCATGGCATTAAGAATATCTTGAGATTTCTTTTGTAGAGCTTGAGAAAGTACATCAGTTTTCCCCATTATTTCCTTTATCAAGTGAAGAATAAACACAAACTCAAATGATTTTAGGAAACAATAAGCTGCATCAGCATCTCCGCGTTGAGAATAAGTAGCAGATACGTCATCAATTATTCCCTGGAGAACAACACAAGTACAATCAAACGTGTTAAGCAAACTGCAAACAGAACGAAAATGAGAACCCCAACGTGTATCACCAGCTCTTCTTAATGTCCCAACTTGATTCAATCCTTTGCCTGATTCGATTTCACCTAGTTCCAATAATTGTTCAATCTCAGTTGCCTTCGCCTTTTGTAACTCATCATGACGCTTACTGGAAGCACAAACTACATTAATTAAAAAAATTAAGTTTGTGAAAAATTGGTGTACAGGAATAATTTCCCTTGAAGCAGCTACCAAGGCTAGTTGTAATCTGTGAGCAAAGCAATGAACATAATATGCATAAGGACAATCCTTAAGAACAAGTGCCTGTAATCCGTTCCATTCCCCTCTCATATTACTAGCACCATCATAACCTTGGCCACGGATTTTACTAACATCAAACTGATAGTGCAAAAGTTGTCTCCACATATTTGTTTTTAGGGTTAATGATAAGGTATCCCTAACATGAACCAAATCCAAGAACCTTTCCCGTATGATCCCTTCTACATCAACAAATCTCAAAACTATCGCCATTTGCTCTTTTTTAGACTCATCCCGTGACTCATCAACCATGACACAAAAATATGAATCACCCACTTCACTACGAATATGCTTTCTAACTTTATTTGCAATAATACTAAGAATTTCTTTTTGAATTTCTCCAGAAGTATATTTTGAATTATAAGGAGCTTTCTCTAATATAACATTTGCAACTTCATCATTATAAGATGCTAGAAGTTTTAGTAGTTGCAAAAAATTACCACGATTTTTGGAATTAGGAGATTCATCATGTCCTCGTAAAGCGCACGCTTGGAATGTCAACCAACGAACTGTGTCAATCGAAGCTTTTAATCGTAAACGATTCTTCAATATTTGCTCTTCATTTTGCTTCATTATGATATTTTCAATGTGTGCTTCTTGGTTCATCAAATTTTCAGCGAATGCAACAGCATTTCTATGTTGTGAACAACCAATGTGCTTTAAGAACGCACAATTTTTCCCGTCATTAACTTTCTTCCAATTGTCAAATCCTTTAACAGTAAATGCATCATAACCATGGGACACACTTGGTTTATCGTTAAATATAAAACAAATAAAACAATAGGATGCATGTGTTGTTGGAGAATATTCGAGCCATTAGGGAAAATGTTGAACCAAGAATATTGAAATCTACGAGGATGTTTCTTTGAACCTTTAGCATGATATTCGTTAAGATGTATCTGGAAAGGTCCTAAGCTCATATAAGCTCGTCTTACTTCTTCCCTTAAGTTAACCGGATATTCCCATATTTGTTTTCTTTTAGCGGGATCTCTTTCTAGTTGCTTAAGATCCGCTTGGACCACCTCATTAGGATTTGATTGTGTGGCTTCATTCCTATCATTCTCTTGTTGATTTTCATGTTCTTGTTGTTGTGGTTCACTTGTTGAAGCTTTGTGTCGTTTAATCTCTTCATTTTTATCATGAATTGCATCATTATCAACCTTTCTTTTGAAGAAAGAATGAATGGTTTTCATATTTCACAAGATTGTATCTATAAAAATCAAAATCAAAAAAAGTTCATAAGAAAATAAGCAATGTGTAATTAGTTGATTCCTAAAACTCCAACAAAATTTAATTTATTATCTTCGTTGTTGGCAAACAATATGTAGTCTTATTTCATAGGTTAATAGTTAACTAGATAAAAGAACACCCATAACTTTCTAGCTTATAGTCTTGAAATCCACATATAATTAATAATCTAATAGAATGATCATAAATTCAGTTATATCCAAGATTCGAAGTTAAACAATAAAGTCATTTTAGACAATAGACATATCAGGTCATATAATCATATCGGTTCATAAAATAGACTCCTAAAATTAGTTTGATTCCTAAAATTCCAACAGGAAAGAAGTTGAAGAACAGGCTGAGGACCAAATTGAAACTTGAAAGCTCAATTGCTCAAAGCTGAAAGCACACCTGAAACCTGAGGATGGGGAATTGGCCAATTGGGAATTGGGGATTGCAGCAGTTGAGCAAAATAGCAGCAGCTGAGTAGCCTGCAGGTGCCAGGTAGCATCGTAGCAACACCGCAGTCCGCAGTGGTGCAACACCCGGCACTCCGGCAGGCGACGTCGCGACAAGTAGGCGAGTGGCGACAGGCGATGAACGGATTCAATTTGGCGGAGTGACTTGCGAGTTGCGATTGAACGAAGATTGAGGATGGGGCCTGGGAAATTGGGGCGGAAGGCGGAAGCTGATTGACGATCTCTAGCTTGCAATCTTGGATCAACTTCTTGGCAACACAAACATTGGATCAACTAATCAGGAGGGGCCACAACCCAAAACTCATATTGCGGGCTTATAATTCCGAAAATTAAGCATATATGTCATATTTCTAGCCCAAAATTCAGGGGGGCCACAACCCCTCCTAGCCCCATAAAAGGTGCGCCCTGGGGATGGTTTAAGAATCATTAATACCTAAAAACCCTTCTTTAACTTTTAACAAATAACTTTTAGATTGTAGAGCTTTATTTTATTCAACCTTTTCTATTTTTATTTTATTTTGCCATAAAGATAATAATTTAGATAATAATTTTGTAATCCAAAACACTCAAAATACTCATACTATAACACAAACCAATCTCATGACTTATTTGTAGGTTCCACAAATTTTAATTAATAGAACTTAATATACAAAAGAAAAAAAGAATTTTTTTTTTTTGAAAAATGTCTCTCGTCTTTCTTTTTAAAAAAATGCACAATAGTTTTTGCTTTTTACATAAAGCTCAAACACTGGATTTAGACATGAAAATATGACCTGAACATTTACAAAATTACAACTTTGAGTGCTTTGATTTCCCACGCTTGTTTCACCATTAAAGTACAACAATATATGCCAAAGGTACTATCCAACAAAGCCTTTTCACACTACTTGATGTGGAGGTCTTCCAAGCTGGACTTCCTCGCCGGCTGTAGGATACACCACCGTCTCCCCCATATAAGCTCCTAAAAACGTCGATAAACTAAGCTTATCAATGGCTTCTCCATGATGCGATTTGCAGACCAGATAAAGCACTGTTTGGATCACAACGATGAGCAGCAAGAACATCAAAAGCAGAAACCCACATAAGATTCCGATCATCACCCTCCAAACCATCGCCAAATTGAAATTTACTCCCCCATATTCTACGAACCACTGATACACAACAAGCAATCCCTCCAAAAAACCATACAACACGAATGCAATTCCCATTCCCACTTTCTTCTTCCCATTCGCCAGATCCTTACCTTTCCTCAAAGCTCTATATCCATGGCTGTTTTCCAGAACTGTAACAACGCTACCCAATTCACAAACAAATACAATGTATAAGAAACCTATAACGTATAAAATTCGGATGATAAGCGTAAGGAGTAAACTCAGGGTTGAGTAATTGAAGATAGATCTGGTTATAGCGAGCGCCACTTCGCCGATTATGTCGTAGATGAAGAACGCCAGGTATATGAATACGAAAGTGACAAGGAGCCGTTTCCAGACCTTTGGGATGATTTTCATGACGTTTTGGAAAACGATTTCTCGGTCGCTGTAGATGGAAGCGACGGTGAAGACGACGGCGGCGGTGGAGAGGAGGGAGAAGACGGTGAGGAAGATGAAGTAGGCGATTTTGAACAGGACGTAGTAGAGCCATTCGATGGCGCTTACGTGGAGTCGATAGTAGGAATCAGTGTCAAGCAGCAATGAATTTCGTTCGAGTTTCCAGAACAAATAACGGGAGATTTCGATGTGAGCTAAGAAGATGATTGTGAGAGGAAGGATTAAGGTAAGAGTGATTTGTGCGAAGATTTTCTTCCATGAGAAGATGGTTGTGAATGATTGTTTGAAGATGCCGAAGAAGCCAATGAATTTCATATCTTCTAAGCTTCGATCCATGGTGATTTTAAGATAGTTGCAGTTGTGAGGTGTATGAATATGAATGAATAATATAGTGGATTGCACTTGATAGTTGATAGTTATAGGTATCTTTATTTGGTCTCATTTTGCTTTTAGTATTCATTTCAAAAACCGCTTTTGTGAGTTGGATTAGGCGTTTTATCCACACCAAAATTTAATTAAATATTCTCATATTTCGGTCCCGTTTGATAGTTGCTGATTGAGAAAGTGCTGACTGAAAAAGGTCTGTCTGAGTAAGAAATTCTGACTGAGTAAGAAATCATGTTGTTTGATTGAAAATCTGACTGAATGTGCTGACTGGTGTAAAATAACCATTTTACCCTGATGCTATACACGTTTCTATGCAATATTATAATAATAATAATAATAATAATAATTTATACAAAAACCTCCACCATAATAGACATTAAATATATTATTTTAAAGATAAAACACAAAAAACCTTTCAGCTTGCTGGTAAACAGCATTGCATCTACAAGGGAGACCCAAGTTCTATTCTTGTAGCCTTCATTAGTTGTGAATTTTTATCCAAGCCAAAGGTACTATTGGAAAGCCTTGTTTTCTTTCTCAGTCAGCCAACTCCCAACTTCTTTCTCGGTCAGACATTGCTTTCCGAGTCAGACAACAAGATTTTATCTATCAAACACCTTTTGTCTGACCGAGTCAACAAAAATGTCTGACCTGACTCAGTCAGATGCCATATCAAACAGGGCCTTCTTCTAACAAATCTTGCTACCCAATTACAATTAAATGTATATATGTAATCCTTCTACCCAATTACAATTAAATGTATATATGTTATATTAAACTATTAAAATATCATTAAATTAGCATTAAATGACACATATGTCGGTATTCAATTCAGTAGGAGGATTTGTAGGAAGAAATAGTAATTTAAAAAATTAACCGAAAGCCTACAGCTTTTAGTTTAAAAGCTATATGAGAAGGCTTTTGAATTCTTTTTGCCAAACACATCTTAATGATAAATCGCTTATGTCGGGTGCAATATTACATCTCTCTCATAATCTTAGTAATATAGTGACAGATTCAACTTATAGTTGTATTTTTCAACTCTAACATGTGCATAAATAAAATTTTAAAATTGTTCAAACAAATTTTATTCCTAAGAATATACGAAGCAGTCAAAATTGATTGGTCACCTTCATGAATCCATTCTCTCGTATTTAATATTACTATCCCAATATAAATTGATTACAAAAGGATGGTTCAAAGCCATAATAATGAATAAAAGGGAATGTAACTGCAAAACAAATCATAGAATAGAGGATAAACGTCGCAAATTAGTATCCTGAATCTAACGTTCACATCAAATATACGCAAAATATTTAGATAAAATGATGCAAACGTGAGAAATATGGAAAACTAATGATACAAGTGTAAGGAGAGAATAACGTTGATGGAAGGGTGAATGAAAACTTAGTTTGGTGAATGAAATTAATGGTATCAAAAACTGAAATATATCCAACTAAAAATAAGTGATTTGCCAATTCATTTTTAAACTTTTTAATACTTATCAAATGAATTTTTTACCATTACAGATTTCTCCATTTTTGCACCTGCTATAACATCCATCTACAGTCTTTTATCACACTTTTTGTGTCTAGAGCCAACACTGTTAGCCTTTTATCGTTAAATGCATTTGTTAAAATCATTTAGAGTGAATTATTTCTAGTTATATCAATTGAACAGTTGTAGAAGACTAATCACTTTACAAACACACATCCAAACACCCCATTTGCCTAACAGATACTTTAAAAACTCAATATTTGGATAAATACAAAACATCCATCCTAAAATACTTTCTCAACAATATCTCAAAATGGAACTTATCTCCATCTTTAAAATGATACTGTTTCATCGAAATTGATGATGCCTCCATGTGTGTCACCTGAAACACGACTCAGTATCTTCAGTTCCAACAATTTTTTTCATTCATGCAAGAAATAGCAATGTACTTTCATTTATTTGTGTTTTATAGCATCTAAGTTTGTTTCATTTCTTTGTATTTAATGATTCTACTTTTTACTTTTTTTTTTAAAATGGATAACAATTATAGCAGTGAAAATCGTTGTACATTTGGATCACAGTTTTATAAATGAATAGATTTTTAAAATGCAATGTTGCAAAAGAAAAAAGTACATTGTTTGTCCTTGTATTTGTACCTTTTTATATTATATGTAAATTCAATGGAGCAAATGTAGTAGAAGAATTAAAAAATATACCTGTAATTACACAAAGGACTTTGAGGACTCTGAGAATCAAAACTTTTCACTTTTGTGAGGATTTCTTTTCCACCTGTCACTTTGTGTGGAAAATTTTCTGACATAACAGGGTTCTTCTCACTATTGTTTGATCCTTCAAGATCATTCTTTTTCCTTCTAAAAACTCCCCATAGATAGTTCTTCCCTTGGAATCCTGCAAATCCAATCGAATCATTTTTTAGTCAATCGAATGGAATCTCAAATTCCAATTCCGATGGAATCCACAAACCAAATTTAAAAACAAAACTCACTCCAGAAAGGTCGAGGCAAAACTCTAGAAGTAAATATCAATAAATCTGCATTTTTGGCAGGGGCTGTCATTGCAAGCTCTTCATCTATCATATCACTCACCAAGTCCTCATAATCCCGTTCATTTCTAGGGTCAAATTTGGAATATAATCACAATAAACAAATCAAACATGAGAAAAATACAACTTGTGAAAGATTAAAAGATATTAAAACAAAAAATTGACATTACTTTGTGTCTCCTGGAAAGAAGTAGAGAGCAATATTTTCATCAGAAGGTTGAGACTCCAAGAAGCTTTTTGGCCATAAAACAGTCTTTGGATGCATTTCTAGAGAAAGCAAAGAGGGAAGCACATTTGCCTCTTGACACACCTTGAAACAAGCTTTATTTGATAAATGACCAACAAACCCTTCGAATTGATTATAATCTGTTTGAGTAATATCAAAGCTTCCCCTGCAATTTTTCATACAAAAGTAAATGACAGGTGGCAAAGTCGGGCAGGTCGGTCGGGCAGCCGGGCAGGATAACGGAATGCATTACCTCCATACTGGTTCCTGGACTGGTTGTGCAGGTTGATAAGGGATGTATTCTACATTATTTTCAACACCTGTTGATTGAGTAACATCACCACTAGTTTTGTCTGTTCTTATTTCTTGTTCATTATGCATCTGGTTTGCTGTTTCAGCCTGGAGATCATCGGGTGTTTGATTCGTGGGATGATTTTCGAAGGAATGGAATCTGTCAAAGGAATTGGAATCCAGAGAAGTTAGAATCATAATGTGTCACGCGTTTAGATGGGAGTTGTTAATTTACAATCAAATATCTTTTGGTTATTGTAAATATATGTAAAAAAACAAGGGTATTTTGGTCATTTAAGAAAAAAGGAAGAATGGAATTGAATTCCTTCTACCCTGGAATGGAATCACGTATTCCAATTCCATCGGAACCAAGAATTAGAAACTAACTTTTCAGGACTGGTCTCTGGTTCTTGAATGCCCGTTTTATTCTTTAAATTTACATCTGTAGAACTGGAATCACAGCAAGAATGCTCGTTGGAATTGGAATCCATCATCTTTTGAGTTTTATTCTCATTGCTTTTCGCATCCGATAAACTTTCATCTCTTTTCCTTTTATCGTCTCTTTTCAATGGAGCCTCTAAAGCAAGAATACACTTTTTCAACCGAAATTCTTTTAGGGAATTTGATGGTGAAACAGCAACTTTCCTTTTCTTTTTTGGTTTTTTCTTTTGTTTCTTTGTTTTTACTTGTGGTGCAATTGCAGCATTCTGTTTATCAGATCTTGAAGGGTTGAATTTATGTGAAGTGAAAGGATTTGAAAGTGGTTGTTGGCAATCTTCACAAAGCCATTCGACAAATTCATCGAATGATTTCGGTATTACTTTTAGACAATACCTGAATAACAAAAGGAGATTGTTAGATTATAAATTTGTGGTTTATTAGAGTTAGGTAACATACTTTTTTGAAGCTGAGTTAAATAGCAATGGACTTCAATATTTTTTCATTAATAATACTTTTGTAATTTATTCATGGTAGAAGAATAGATAGGCAAAATGGAAAGAATGGTGTTGTAGTGTACCTGTGAATAACAAACTTCAAACACTTGACACAATAAACATAAGCATTGGTAAGTCCTTTGTCTCCACATGTTTGACAAATCAAAACCTACAGAAATAAAATTTAAAAAAAGAAATTGTATCATAATTGGTAAACATTATTACACGACAATAGCCCGATTATAGATATAATATACTATTGACCATTGTTATTGAGGTAAAAGGGTACCATGGTTCTTTAAAACAACCGCAATATAAAATAAGTGCATAGATGTATTTGTTACAGGTGAGTACTTTTTTCAATGATAAAAATGAGGAGGGCATTTGCGTCTTTTACACAGACAAAAGAAAGATTGATAGTGAGTGTTTGTCAAACATTGTTCCAACTTTTTGGTGGAACAAAATGCATGCCAAATTCAGTACAATTTATTTTGTTCAATCTTGTATTGTGTAACGAACAAAGCTTAGGGAAATAGGGAATTCATCTTTTTTAACAAAATATCAGTGAAATTTCATCAATTTAACACAGATGACTTTCCTATATGTATTAAATATTGAAGAAGAAAATTATGTCTCCGACTACGAATTCTAGAATACCCACATCATGTTAGCAAAACCGATGTCAAAATCAAGTCCAATTACCAAAAATTTCAAAACCCATAACAACTCCAAATACGAAAAATAACCCCTTCGATCGTCAAATCTTAAGCATAGCCGTTTCTTTAAAGGAGTGGGTAGAAATTGCGGGCGATAGAGGAGAGAGGGATTAGGGTAAATTATCGCAATGCTGTACTACGTCAAGCTTCAAACGAAAAACCATACAAAGTCGAGGGGTTTTGCTATAATTCACAATCATAATTATAAGCAATCAACAAGA